CGACTACTACATCGTTATAGTGAACCATGGGGAATAACAACGACTACTACATTATCATAGTGAACCACAGGGGATTACAACGACTACTACATGGTCATAGTGAACCACAGGGGATGACAACGACTACTACATCGTCATAGTGAACTACCGGGGATGACAACGACTACTACATGCTCATAGTGAACTACCGGGGATGACAACGACTACTACATCGTCAAACTGAACCATCGGGGATGACAACGACTACTACATGGTCATAGTGAACAACAGGGGATGACAACGACTACTACATGCTCATAGTGAACTACCGGGGATGACAACGACTACTACATCGTCAAAGTGAACCATCGGGGATGACAACGACTACTACATCGTCATAGTGAACTACCGGGAATGACAACGACTACTACATGGTCATAGTGAACTACCGGGGATGACAACGACTACTACATCGTCAAAGTGAACCATCGGGGATGACAACGACTACTACATCGTCATAGTGAACTACCGGGGATGGCAACGACTGCTACATGGTCATAGTGAACTACCGAGGATGACAACGTCTACTACATCGTCATAGTGAACCACAGGGGATGACAACGACTACTACATTGTAATAGTGAACCACCGGGAATGACAACGACTACTACATCCTCATAGTGAACCACTGGGGATGACAACGACTACTACATCGTCATAGTGAACTACCGGGGATGACAACGACTACTACATGGTCATAGTGAAACACCGGGGATGACAACGACTACTACATCGTCATAGTGAACCACAGGGGATGACAACGACTACTACATCGTCATAGTGAACAACAGGGGATGACAACGACTACTACATCGTCATAGTGAACTACCGGGGATGACAACGACTACTACATCGTCATAGTGACCCAACGGAATGACAACGACTACTACATGGTCATAGTGAACAACAGGGGACGACAACGACTACTACATCGTCATAGTGAACCACCGGGGATGACAACGACTACTACATGGCCATAGTGAACTACCGGGGATGACAACGACTACTACATCGTCATACTGAACCACAGGGGATGACAACGACTACTACATCGTCATAGTGAACCACCGGGGATGACAACGACTACTACATCGTCATAGTGAACTATCGGTGATGACAACGACTACTACATGGCCATAGTGAAACACCGGGGATGACAACGACTACTCCATGGTCATAGTGAACCACGAATGTTGACAACGACTACTACATGGTCATAGTGAACCACCGGGAATGAGAACGACTACTACAACGTCATAGTGAACTACCGGGGATGACAACGACTACTACATCGTTATAGTGAACTACCGAGGATGACAACGACTACTACATGGCCATAGTGAAACACCGGGGATGACAACGACTACTACATGGTCATAGTGAAACACGAATGTTGACAACGACTACTACATGGTCATAGTGAACCACAGGGGATGACAACGACTACTACATGGTCATAGTGAACCACCGGGGATGACAACGACTACTACAACGTCATAGTGAACTACCGGGAATGACAACGACTACTACATCGTCATAGTGAAACACCGGGGATGACAACGACTACTACATCGTCATAGTGAACCACGAATGTTGACAACGACTACTACATGGTCATAGTGAACCACGAATGTTGACAACGACTACTACATCGTCATAGTGAACCACAGGGGATGGCAACGACTACTACATGGTCATAGTGAACTACCGAGGATGACAACGACTACTACATCGTCATAGTGAACAACAGGGGATGACAACGACTACTACATCGTCATAGTGAACTACTGGGGATGACAACGACTACTACATCGTCATAGTGAACTACCGGGGATGACAACGACTACTACATGGCCATAGTGAAACACCGGGGATGACAACGACTACTACATCGTCATAGTGAACCACGAATGTTGACAACGACTACTACATCGTCATTGTGAACCACAGGGGATGACAACGACTACTACATCGTCATAGTGAACCACCGGGGATGACAACGACTACTACAACGTCATAGTGAACTACCGGGGATGACAACGACTACTACATCGTCATAGTGAAACACAGGGGATGACAACGACTGCTACATGGTCATAGTGAACCACAGGGGATGACAACGACTACTACATCGTCATAGTGAACCATCGGGGATGACAACGACTGCTACATTGTCATAGTGAACCACAGGGGATGACAACGACTACTACATTGTCATAGTGAACAACAGCGGATGACAACGGCTACTACATCGTCATAGTGAACCATCGGGGATGACAACGACTACTACAACGTCGTAGTGAACTACCGGGGATGACAACGACTACTACATGGCCATAGTGAAACACCGGGGATGACAACGACTACTACATGGTCATAGTGAACCACGAATGTTGACAACGACTACTACATGGTCATAGTGAACCACAGGGGATGACAACGACTACTACATGGTCATAGTGAACCACCGGGGATGACAACGACTACTACAACGTCATAGTGAACTACCGGGGATGACAACGACTACTACATTGTCATAGTGAACAGCAGGGGATGACAACGGCTACTACATGGCCATAGTGAAACACCGGGATGACAACGACTACTACATGGTCATAGTGAACCACGAATGTTGACAACGACTACTACATGGTCATAGTGAACCACGAATGTTGACAACGACTACTACATCGTCATAGTGAACCACAGGGGATGACAACGACTACTACATTGCCATAGTGAAACACCGGGGATGACTACGACTACTACATGGTCATAGTGAACCACGAATGTTGACAACGACTACTACATCGTCATAGTGAACCACGAATGTTGACAACGACTACTACGTTGTCATAGTGAACTACCGGGGATGACAACGACTACTACATGGCCATAATGTAACACCGGGGATGACAACGACTACTACATGGTCATAGTGAACCATGAATGTTGACAACGACTACTACATGGTCATAGTGAACCACGAATGTTGACAACGACTACTACGTCGTCATAGTGAACCACGGGGGATGACAACGACTACTACATTGTCATAGTGAACAACAGGGGATGACAACGGCTACTACATCGTCATAGTGAACCACGAGATGTTGACAACGACTACTACATCGTCATAGTGAACCTCAGGGGATGACAACGACTACTACATGCTCATAGTGAACTACCGGGGATGACAACGACTACTACATGGTCATAGTGAACCACGAATGTTGACAACGACTACTACATGGTCATAGTGAACCACGAATGTTGACAACGACTACTACATGGTCATAGTGAACCACGAATGTTGACAACGACTACTACATCGTCATAGTGAACAACAGGGGATGACAACGGCTACTACATCGTCATAGTGAAACACCGGGGATGACAACGACTACTACATCGTCATAGTGAACTACCGGGGATGGCAACGACTACTACATGGTCATAGTGAACTACCGAGGATGACAACGACTACTACATCGTCATACTGAACAACAGGGGATGACAACGACTACTACATCGTCATAGTGAACTACTGGGGATGACAACGACTACTACATCGTCATAGTGAACTACCGGGGATGACAACGACTACTACATGGCCATAGTGAAACACCGGGGATGACAACGACTACTACATCGTCATAGTGGACGACGAATGTTGACAACGACTACTACATGGTCATAGTGAACCACAGGGGATGACAACGACTACTACATCGTCATAGTGAACCACCGGGGATGACAACGACTACTACAACGTCATAGTGAACTACCGGGGATGACAACGACTACTACATCGTCATAGTGAAACACCGGGGATGACAACGACTACTACATCGTCATAGTGAAACACGAATGTTGACAACTACTACTACATCGTCATAGTGAACCATCGGGGATGACAACGACTACTACATGGTCATAGTGAACCACAGGGGATGACAACGACTACTACATCGTCATAGTGAACAACAGGGGATGACAACGACTACTACATGGTCATAGTGAACAACAGGGGATGAACTACTACAGGTGAGCCATGGATGACGACTACTACATCGTCATAGTGAACAACAGGGGATGACAACGACTAGTACATCGTCACAGGGGGATGACAACGACTACTACATCGTCATAGTGAACCACAGGGGATGACAACGACTACTACATGGTCATAGTGAACCACGGGGATGACAACGACTACTACATTGTCATAGTGAACCACCGGGGATGACAACGACTACTACATCGTCATAGTGAACCCCTTGACTCAAAGCACTATATGACGGGCGCCACGGTGTGGAAAGATTGATTTCAAACTAAATGGCTTTCAACTCCTCAAACAATGTAAAAATAACAATAAACTTTTTTATAGTGTCAATTCCAAAATCAACTACAGGAACTTGCGAAAGTAGGTCCACCAGTAGGGACACCAGAAGTAGGCTACACACATTGTACCCATGCGGAGAATGGTGATCACGGGGGATGGCGCCACGAAACCCGTGCCTTCTGAAAGGCCCCTTACGTTGCTGGGTTCCCAGGTCCAAATGGTCCACATCGAGAGGAGGTTCAAGCTATAAGTTATGAGTTTAACAGCCGATGTTTTACAAATGGGTATCTGAAATTTTACTCGCTGTATTTAATACTTTATGATTTCAGTGAAAATCCGGGTTAGAATTGGTCTTCAGCAACTCATGCTTGTCACATGTCATCGTATCCCAATAGCGTGAGAGATGCTCGTGATGTTGATCACTGGATTGTCTGGTCCAGATTTGATTATTTACACACCGCCGTCGAATAGCTGGAATATTGCTGAATGCGACGTTAAACAACAATCAACCAATCAATCAATTAATCACTAATATTTTATATATTTTGGATATGTTTTAACAGCCCGACTCCCATGCCAGGAGTGGACACTCAACACTTAAAGACACAAGTCGACATAATGTTTCACCTTTTATGTGTATCACTTCTAAATGCCCTTCAAAGACTTTAAAATGCTTTGAATAAAGGTTCTTCTAAAGAGAGTGAGTATTGTATTATCAAGGTAGAATGGTCTTCAGAAAAACAATCGTTCCCATTCCGACAGTCGACATTAAAAACTAAAATACTTTGAATATAGGTTCTATAAAAGAAAGATCGAGTATTGTATTATCAAGATATTACAATACCTAAGGTGTCGTAAAGGAAAAATACAATCACTTTGTAAATATGTTCCATGTTGGGAGTCCAAGTCAGTTTAGAACCAAACATATTTATACTATTCAATGTTACCTGGCAGCGTGTTGGCAATATTTCTAAAGAAAAGGTGACTATTGTGGCAAAATAATCATCGTCGATCCACCTGGGGCTTGTGATTGGTTCGTGACCAAAACTCACTCCCTCAAATGCTGTGATATTCTCTATCCTCCCAGCGTTAAGATCAACTTGTGAGTGTTTTCGAAAGCTCTATAAAAGGCGCTATTGGTGCAGGAAATATCTTTTGTACTAAGTCTAATAGACAGCAGGTTGTAGACGCCCAGGTAAGTCTATCTTCTCGCCAAATCTCGGGAAGCCATATCGTTCGAGAACGATATTACCGTCGGACAACTCTCGCGGTGTCAGGGGGAAACGTGTTCCTGTAGACTTCCGGCTGATTGACGAGCCTCGTTGTGAGTCGACTTCAAATGCAGCCAAAGCTTTCAAGACATGTTTCTCTGGTACGTTTAATTTCTGGAACAAGGCTCTAACCATTCCTTCCTTCTCCTTAACAAGCTCTTCGTACTGAACGGCAAATATCGGGATCCCACTCTTCCTAAACTCTGTGTATCTCGTCATGAGGGCTGACGTCATTATCATCGTGTGTCCTATCATACACAATTTTACCGCCATATCCTCAAGGTCATGGTCATAGCGATCCACCCGTGAAAACATCTTGTACAGACTCTGTCGAAGTCCTGGAAAGAACCTCGCGAGTAAATCAGAATCTATCACCACCTTTGCTAACTTTGTGAGAAATTCCGACTGAGTTAACCCCTTGGCAGAGACAGCGTATGGCAAACTATCTCTGTATAGAAACAGGTGCTTGATTTCAGGAAACATCTCACATATGACCTTGACCTCTGCGAATGTGAATGAAGCGACCTTCATAATAATTCTTTGAGCTCCTGGCAGCGTCTTACACTGCAGTCTGATGACACTCTGCAGCAGCTTGAGAACTTCCTCTTCCGGGCAGGTTTCAAGTTTACTTAACGTTGTGACAGATATTAGAGCCTCTGGTTCTCCGATGGCTATTGTTCCGGGGACCTTCTCAAATACCTGGCTGAGAAGAGTAGAGCCACAGCGTCCAGTGCTAGAGAGCCATATGACAGGGACCTGAGGGTCTCCCGTCTCGTCCGCCAGCCGATGGAAGGCTTCCACAGGAATGGTGTATACCTTCTCAGCATTGACAGCCTGGGCCCACTTCATGAAAGGATGGGTGTCAGAGCTGTAGATGTCTACATCTTTGTCCGTCTTTAAAAATATAGCTTCTGTGGAAGTGATATTATACAGAGATACTGATGGGTCCAAGAGGATTCGAGGATGGTCAAATCTTTCGTGTGTAGTCCAGAATTCATTTGTATTTGAAGACGTCGCATGAGACACTTTCCTTTTCCAAAGCACGTGTTGCACGTGGACGGCACGTCCATAGCACGTGCTGGTAGCTGCACATGCAGACTGTACCCCAGTAATTCTCCAAATAAGGCCGTGGAGAACTTTGTATATTGGTGTCAGAATCAGGAATATGATGGAAACCAGACTGGACGACAGGTCAGAGAACATCTTCTGGTTTCTGGGGAAGACAAAAATATGTGAAGTTTTACATTCAGTCTGTACACTAAAAGGCAAGGTTTATATGGAACCCAAACACCTGTCTCTCTTATAATACATACTATAAAAATGTCTAATCACAGGTGAATGATTGATTGTTTACCTCCACACTCAGCAATATTCAAGCTTTCTGACGGCGGTCTGTAAATAATCGAGTCTGGTCCAGACAATACAGTGATCAACAACATGTGCATCTCTCTACGCTTTTGGGATGCGATAATGATATCATATATCAACCATATCGGCGAGCCTGCCCAACCGATCCCGTTACTCGCCTCTTACGACAAGCTTGGGTTGCTGAAGACCAGTTCTAACCCGGATCTTCACGGGAGACAAGCATGGGTTGCTGCAGACCAGTTCCAACCCGGATCTTCAAGGGGGACAAGCTTGGGCTGCTGAAGACCAGTTCTAACCCGGATCTTCACGGGTAGAGACAAGCATGGGTTGCTGCAGACCAGTTCTTACCCGGATCTTCACGAGTAGAGACAAGCATGGGCTGCTGCAGACCAGTTCCAACCCGGATCTTCACGGGTAGAGACAAGCATGGGTTGCTGCAGACCAGTTCTAACCCGGATCTTCATGGGGAGACAAGCATGGGTTGCTGCTGAGGTGGTTTTCTGCTCGAAAGACTGCAAGTATCCTGTACGCTATATCCTGTACGCTATATCCTTTATTCTCAAGGAGATGATGGGGTAGCCTAGTGGTTAAAGCGTTTGCTCGTCACGCCGAAGACTCGGGTGTAATTCCGCCATGATATTGTGAAAACCAAAAAGCTGCATTACAAGATACTCACTTTATTCTCGTTGAACTATGCAGCTTAGAGTGTGAGCTTCTGTGAAAACATTCCTAATGCTTATTTCAAATGTGGAAAACAAACTATATAGTCTTACCTGTTTAAAAACATAGACTGTTAATATATAAAAACTGAATTATGCGATTAATCCGCGGGTGCTGAGGAGGGCTAATATGTAGTGTAAATCATGAAATTAATGCGTCACGAATTTTTATTGCGAGTGCGAGGGTCTAGTCTAAAATGCGTCACGAAATTAATGCGAGCTCAGGAATCTGTGTTGATGATAAAATGTGACACCCTGAATCTTTGGTGTTGTTCTTTTTCTTTTCACACTTGTTATTTACCAAATAACCTGAATTGAGCTTGTCCAGCAATGAATGGAAGTGAGCTGACGATGTTTTGATTACCATGCCATGTTTGATCACGTGATTGCTTGCTACTACATGTTTAAACGTAATCCGACTAGAAAGACACAAGTCATCTACCAAGGTACAACAAACACGTGGCTGGAGAATGTCCGGTCTGGCTGATGTGCTTGAGTGACTTTAAACAATGACCAGTGATTGTAACCAGTGATAATTACATGTGGCTTGAGATACCTGTAATGAGGAAGTGCCCTGTACTTTTTCTGTCTGTTATTACTAGTACTCGGAGTAGCTTCTGAGGATTATAAGAAAATGTACCTGTCACTTTTTCTTTTCATAATGATTAAAACAACCTTAACCTGTGAAGATCCGGATTAGAATTGGTCTTCAGCAACACGTGCTTGTCGTAAGAGGCGACTAACGGGATCGGGTGGTCAGGCTCGCTGACATAGTTGACACGTGTCATCATATCCTAATTGGGTTGATAGATGCTCCTGGTGTTGATCACTGGATTGTCTGGTCCAGACTACCACGACGCCCCCGATATCTCGAGCTTGTTGTCAGTCAGGCAGATATACTTCACTATCAGCGACAGTAACATCACTGACTGAGACGGTAGGATCAGCCAACCAAACGTTTGGTTTGATAAACATCACAATGAGTGTCATGTCATGACAGCATGTCCATGATTACTTCAATGTATGACCCATGGTTACTTCAAGGTATCGTCCATGGTTACTTCAAGGTATGATCCATGGTTACTTCAAGGAATGATCCATGATTACTTCAAGGTACTTCAAGGTATGATCCATGGTTACTTCAAGGCATGATCCATGGTTACTTCAAGGTATGATCCATGGTTACTTCAAGGTATGATCCATGGTTACTTCAAGGTATGATCCATGGTTACTTCAAGGTATGATCCATGGTTACTTCAAGGTATGATCCATGGTTACTTCAAGGTATGATCCATGGTTACTTCAAGGTATCGTCCATGGTTACTTCAAGGTATGATCCATGGTTACTTCAAGGTATGATCCATGGTTACTTCAAGGTATGATCCATGGTTACTTCAAATGGTTATGATCCATGGTTACTTCAAGGTATGATCCATGATTACTTCAAGGTATGATCCATGTTACTTCAAGGTATGATCCATGATTACTTCAAGGTATGATCCATGGTTACTTCCATGGTTATGATCCATGGTTACTTCAAGGTATGATCCATGGTTACTTCAAGGTATGATCCATGGTTACTTCAAAGGTATGATCCATGATTACTTATGATCCATGATTACTTCAAGGTATGATCCATGATTACTTCAAGGTATGATCCATGATTACCCATGATTACTTCAAGGTATGATCCATGGTTACTTCTGATCCAAGGTATGATCCATGGTTACTTCAAGGTATGATCCATGGTTACTTCAAGGTATGATCCATGGTTACTTCAAGGTATGATCCATGGTTACTTCAAGGTATGATCCATGGTTACTTCAAGGTATGATCCATGGTTACTTCAAGGTATGATCCATGGTTACTTCAAGGTATGATCCATGGTTACTTCAAGGTATGATCCATGGTTACTTCAAGGTATGATCCATGGTTACTTCAAGGTATGATCCATGATCCATGGTTACTTCCAAGGTATGATCCATGGTTACTTCAAGGTATGATCCATGGTTACTTCAAGGTATGATCCATGGTTACTTCAAGGTATGATCCATGGTTACTTCAAGGATTACTTCAAGGAATGATCCATGATTACTTCAAGGAATGATGACCCATGATTACTTCCAAGGTATGATCATGGTTACTTCAAGGTATGATCCATGATTACTTCAAGGTATGATCCATGGTTACTTCAAGGTATGATCCATGGTTACTTCAAGGAATGATCCATGGTTACTTCAAGGTATGATCCATGATTACTTCAAGGTATGATCCATGGTTACTTCAAGGTATGATCCATGATTACTTCAAGGTATGATCCATGGTTACTTCAAGGTATGATCCATGGTTACTTCAAGGTATGATCCATGATTACTTCAAGGTATGATCCATGGTTGACTTGATTACTTCAAGGTATGATCCATGGTTACTTCAAAGACTTCCAACTTCATGATCCATGATTACTTCAAGGTATGATCCATGATTACTTCAAGGTATGATCCATGGTTACTTCAAGGTATGATCCATGGTTACTTCAAGGTATGATCCATGATTACTTCAAGGTATGATCCATGATTACTTACTTCTTCAAAGGTATGATCCATGATTACTTCAAGGTATGATCCATGGTTACTTCTTATGATCCATGGTTACTTCAAAGGCATGATCCATGATTACTTCAAGGTATGATCCATGATTACTTCAAGGTATGATCCATGATTACTTCAAGGTATGATCCATATGATCCATGGTATGATCCATGATTACTTCAAGGTATGATCCATGGTTACTTCAAGGTATGATCCATGATTACTTCAAGGTATGATCCATGGTTACTTCAAGGTATGATCCATGATTACTTCAAGGTATGATCCATGACTTCATGGTTACTTTACTTCAAGGTATGATCCATGGTTACTTCAAGGTATGATCCATGGTTACTTCAAGGTATGATCCATGGTTACTTCAAGGTATGACCCATGGTTACTTCAAGGTATGATCCATGGTTACTTCAAGGTATGATCCATGGTTACTTCAAGGTATGATCCATGGTTACTTCAAGGCATGATCCATGGTTACTTCAAGGTATGACCCATGGTTACTTCATGGTTACTTCAAGGTATGATCCATGGTTACTTCAAGGTTATCCAAGGTATGACCCATGGTTACTTCAAGGTATGATCCATGGTTACTTCAAGGTATGATCCATGGTTACTTCAAGGTATGATCCATGGTTACTTCAAGGTATGATCCATTGTTACTTCAAGGTGTGATCATGGTTGCTCGATGTCCGCACATGACTTCTGTCATATCAACATATCCGAATTTGTAAACTTTATTGTATAAATTATCTAAACAAGCGGTTAACCTGGACAAAGTCCACACAGTGGCGTACTCGCTGAAAACCAATAAGCAGGTCCATTTGCATGTGAGAAAACTTGAAAAAATAAATCCCATGAAGTGCAAAGATTACCTATTTATTTCGCAATATGTTATTTTGGGATTACAAAACTAAAATATTTTCAAGTGAAGTTGTATATATTTTTGCAATATCATTGTCTGGCAACTCTCGAAGTCAGCTTGGAAATGTACGTTACCACACTCTCTGACCTCTGAAAATGTTCATTATCTATAGAAATAGATCAGAAATAAATTGTAGTGGTTCAGTGGTTTTAATTCACTCACAGAAAATCAATAAATGCAGAAAAAGCGCAAGGATCAGGGCAGTAGTCGGCACAATATGAATACCTCACTCGAACTTGGACAGACATTTTTTTAAAACTGATCATTCAAACGCCAAGGTTTAAAAACGAAAAAGTCTCAATACTTAAACACTTTTCGTGACCATCCGAGTATGGTGTTTGTTCCTATTTCGGATCAAATTAGACACTGTGGTAAAACAATGTCTCATATAAATTAATAGTGTAAGTCATAACAGAGACCATCTATTATATGGTCTCTGGTCATAATAAATGCAACGTATGTTTCGTAAATGCCAATGCTCTATCGATTTGTGGTCTCTTACATGAGATGAATGGTGTGTACCGTGACTAAAACACTTTTTTGCATTAGTGATAATGTAGACAGCATAATTTACCTATGGATAGAGGCTGTTCGGTTGAAATTG